GTTTATCAAACTCCTCCAGTTTAACAAGCGGATGAACTTGCTTGGCTTTACGTTCGGGCGTTGTTGGGACGATCTGCAAATCTTCTTCCTCACCTTCGGCATCCTCTTCATCGGTTTCACAACCTTGTTCTTCACCATCTTCAACTTACAGTTGGAGGAGTTCGCGAACTTCTTGGCTTCCGTCCAGATGTGCTTCTCGATGATGCTCGGCAAATTCAACTTCGAGGCGATGGCTCAGGCGAACCAGGCGTCCCCAGTCATGTTCTTCGTGTTTTCTCTGAGCACGAGTATGATCCTCATCAACCTCATGCTCACCATCATCATCAAGTCTTTCACCGAAGTCAAGAACGAGCTCAAGAACGTGAAAAACAAGTACGACATCCTGGATTTCATTTCTTACAAGATCATGACTACGCTCGGGCTTCAAGAGAGGGAGTTTCTTCTCCACACAGCCGAGCCTGACATCACAGAAGCATCACAGCAGTCAGAGACGACGGCTTCTGTCAGCGACGAGTTCCCAAGTAAAGTCGATTCTCTTCTGTGTTACATCAATGATCTCTACTTTGACGGGCAGCTCGACCTGAAAAACCCGGACGGACTGAAGGCTGCAGTGGGACGAGATATCGCCCACGAACAAAACCTTACAATGCGCATGTCGGCAGGCTTTGACAGATACTTTGGTAAGCTCGACGCAAAGGTCACGAATGAGAAAACGACCTTCGACGCCTAAAGATTTATGTTTTTCTCTCTCTCAGCGTTCCATAATTAACAATTAATTACATTAAGATGGCTTATAACAAAGTATGTTGTTCCGTCCTTCTATATCCAAGGTTTATCTAGGCCTGCCAGTAAGATTAAGAGAAAGTACAAGTTTTCCTAATTACATTTCAAGTTCTCCCTCTTGCAATGAGAGAAGGAGGGCGCGATATGACCTGAGGGCGTGGCAGTTTGCTGACCCATCATGTCTACATTGCTTTAGCTTTCGTTTATGTCACGGTTTTATGTTAAATGTTACGTGAAGAACGCCTACTATCCTCCGCACAAAGTATAATATGCACTCTTAATATAGATGTCTACCTAGTGTACTATAGTTTATAAAGCAAATTAAGTTGGGAAATAGTTTGAATAATCCTTTTCCTGTTGCATTATTATTGGGCTAGCCATATTGATTAATGGAGGATAATCTAGAACGGGTTTTCAGACTATTCAGCTTCTCGAAACCCTAATGAAGTTTCAGTTCTTTTATCGACGCCCCAAGATTTGAAATAACGAAAGCAGTTTATATCATGAATGAAAAACATAGTACATACATATGATATAATTTACAAAAATCATAGCAGTACTCGGTAGCAGTAATAGTATTAGAAATTAAATAAACACATATATACATCATACTTCATATGACGTATTTTCTTAGAAACTGTTAGCGTTCATGTCAAGGATTCGCCTGGCGGCCTTCAACGAAGGTTTCAGATTGGGTTGAAGATTTTAGTTTCAGTCTTACGTCACCACTGTCTTTCATGTTCAGCTTGTTCCTCCGGTTCGTTAGAATTGCATTTTCATGACTAAAGCCAGATTCAGCCACGTATGAATTCGGTAAAGCAAGTCTGAAAATGGATGAACCACAGCAAAAAGTTGTGCAATTAGCTACATTACTTCCATCGGTCTAAAAGGTCACGGAAGCTTTTCCTTCTAAACTATGCACTTGCCTCGTGATCCATAGTCATACTAATGAACTTTTCCTGGCAATTGTGAATCATTACCCGCTTTTTCAAAGTCAAATGATTTAAGATTTTCAAAGTGCTGATTACTATTAATTAATTTATACAGGTGATATGCGGTAGCCTTTAGCACCCAACGCTTCAAACCATTGAGATTGAGGTGAGTTACGTAAGTTTTTATGTCACCACCTGAAATTATTACACCCAGCTGCTGTTAATACAGTGAAGCTGTAAAAAGCTTAATTTGCCTTGAAAAGCCTATGGAATTGCCCTGAATAACGGCAACATCTTTATCCCACTTAAAAATTTGAATATAGGTTGTACAAGACTTTGCTAGCTGTGACCCTTAGACAACCGCCTCACTTTGCATTAATTAATTTTCTTGTGAGGAGAAGAGGAATAGGGATATTGTTCATGGCTCTGAGGAGCAGAAGAGGAAGGTGTTGGAGATGGTGGAGTGGAACGTTTAGGTTGCCTGGTGCGACAAATAAAGTAAGGAGGAGGGGTAGGTATCACCAATCACCATGAAAACTGCGTTTTTATGGTGATGGCAAGCCTCATTGGCTTGAGGGGGTGGGATTCGAGAGAGCACGTGGGGCGGAGGCAGACAGACAGGCGACAGTAGCTTCCGCTTCCCCCAGCCTGCCATCCTAATTTGATAGACATTCTCATGTAATTAAAGAACTTGGGTTCATGTTCTCGTAACTTTGGATACAATGTGAAGAACATCCCATGGGTAAGTCTGTCATTTAAGATAGGATACACCCAATAACGTCTGTCTCCTCTTCCGCCGCTGTAAACGACAATATAAAACCCATGCACATGCCACCTCTTCTACATCCATTACCACCAGCTGTGTATGATCAGCGACTGAAGAGAGAGAGAAAAAAAATACAATAGTGGGTGAGAGACGAGTCGGGCCACTGTAAGCGCCGTGTGTGGACATTCACTCAGTAGTCACACTTCTAGCAGTCGGGCCACTAATATCGTTCGTCTGAACAGGGCCTAAGCGTCGAGGAGAAGGTGGTAGTATCAGTGGTCGGAGCCATGGTCAAAGGAGGGGCAGGGGTCGGAAAATCAAATTTAGATAACTTAGTTAATGAAGGAGCAAGCCTTAATGCCCCTATTAAATGTAAAGAATCTTCAGTATTAGCCATAGTCAGCCTGAATAAAATGGGGAAAAGACACGGTCTACCCCTTAGGGTCTCCACGGGTAAAGGCTAGGCAATTAACCAAGGGAATACCGTGCTTATGGCTCCCGGAAGCCTTTCATAACTGACATAAAGCCATCCTTTCATCCTTTCACACAAGGAATGGGATAGAAGGCGATAGACATACGGAAGAGGAAGGAGAGAAAAAACAAGCAAAATTAGTTGAGACGAGGGCTGAGGCCCAAGGTAGGGGCGATCCCTATATTGGACCACAGTCTCCGTCTCCTAAGCTCTCCCACGACAACGAGCAAGGTACTGGGAGGGAAGTGAGGTAGTATTGTGGGGAGAGGGAGGACAATAAGGATGAAGAATAGTATCCTTGCTCGTTGCTGTTGTGGAGGGGGGGGGGGCTGAGGACACGGAGACTGAGGCCCAATGTAGGGGATCAACCCTACCTTAGACCTCTGCCCTCGCCTCAGCTAATCCCCGCCTTCTTCGCCACGCAACGCTTCGCGTAACGTTTTGCCACTCAGACCGTTCACTTGAATTCGCCACGAAACGCACGGTGCGCTCTGACCAAGTGAACGCAATGAATGTATGTTTACGATAATCAGCTGAGAGGCTTTTTGCGTGGCGAAACCGTTCACCCTGACCGTTTTGGGTCTGTGCGACGCGCATCGTGCGGAAAAGCCCAAGTAAACGCAGTCAATGTTGTATGGCATTTTCTTCAAATTTCCATTTCCTTTTCACCATCCCCTTTTCCCACATCCTAAAGTGTGAGAGCAGTACTGAAAGGATGAAAGGCAGTGTTTTTGTCAGTCCAAAACAGCCTTCGTACTGTTTGCTTTTCCCTCTTCACCATATTCATTATCATGCTAATCAACAGAGCTTACAACCTTTGACAACTAACAAGCCTCACCATTTCGTTATATTTTGAATACGCCGCTAAAGACCTTAGATGTTGACACGCCAGAAAATTTTCAATAAATTAATGATAATGATAAGGTGGGAGAAGGTAAACACTGAAGAAGGGGTAGTTGTAATTGATGGGGTAGTTCATTTTGGATAAGAGGAAAGGGTGCATTCTGAAGGTATAGTAATGGCCTGGGTGGATGATTCGGAATGGATAGACTTGACAGCAACATCGAGGAAGGGTATTAGTATCAGTGGTCAAAGCCATGGGAATTGTGAAATTTTAAGGGGCTTGCTTGGGATTTCCACATTTCTTTATCCAGCCCCATAGTTCCCTTTTATTTCATGCAGTTAATCATATGGGAAGTTGGCTCGCAAAATCCTATTACACGTAGGCATTGGCACAGCACAGTAAACTTTGTAGAAAATTACCACCTAAAGATCCGTTTACTTTTTCTGTAGAACTGATTAATTCTTAAATACATGCACCAATATGCCTTTTATACTCAAAACAGGAGATTTCATTTACATGAGTTATCAACTAATTTGCCATATTCACATTAGCATAATTAAGCATATGTACTTTGTTTTACGTTCAAATCTTATATGAACATTGTGATCTTAAGGATAAGGATACCAATATGTAGATTTTCAGGGTGTATTTTAGAAAATATGTCGGGGTCAAAGATATCCAGCATCAAGATTGGTTCAAAATACTTTGTCTCAACTTACAAGTCTTCACAAGCTGAAACAAAATAATATCACAGACTAATCAATTAGGTTGTGCCCCTGAGGGACTGAGCTCACTTAGTATATAAGCATACAACTGTATCACTAAAATATGTTATCAAAACAAGTCACAAAATGTATCCAAAATACAGTGAAATATCCATTACGTCTAGTGAAAAAGGGCCACAATATGTGCTAAACTTGAGTATTCCTGGGGTTAGTGTTAAACCCAATCACTGGTGTAGTGTTATGGTGAATGCTTAGTACCCTCCGGGGAGCAACCCCTTCATCCAACTGACACTCGACATACTTAGACTCCTGGCATACTGAGTAGCATCACAGTTAGGGTCTCATGACAAAAGAAAAAATAAAATGAAAAACATCGCAAGTCCTAAACAGTGCAACTTAGCGGAGCACTACTCTTCCACTTCCTGAAACTCTGTCCCTGTTATGATTGCCCCCATTTACCTAGTAACATCAGCCTTTAAAACATCTGCAAGGCTGGGTAAAAGCATTTCAAAATGTACAAGATACAAAATTAGCAATATACATGAGGGGAATCACATAATCACATTACAGTAACTACTGTTTGTCACTCATCTCCAGATATATTACAAAAAACACTTCAAATGTTGAACAGCTAAATATACTGCCAACCAACACTGATGGATTACTACTCTCATTTTCATTTTCAAGAGTTGTGACTCCTTGAACGTGTTCCACAAACCAATACATATGCTAACTGATTATGACAGTTATATTTTTTGCAACATAGAGACCTTTTCTCTATATACTGTTTTCATACAGGGGAAAAATGCACCTTCACAAAGGTGCTTCAACATCAGTTCACAAACAAATTAAGCTTGCATAAATATGCTTTTATACATATGTATATATGCGAATGTGTGTGAATCTATGTATCTGTATGCACATGTGTATGTGTGTGTGTGTGTATTTTGTGTGTGAGCGTGAGCATGTAATGCACAAGCACAGGCACATACTCAACACACATTTTACATAACAGAAGATGAAGGTAAGGATTTTACGAACTTTTAATCATGTTTCTACAAGATCAAACATGAAGGCCTCTAATTAACTTGTGTATCATTGCATTAAATCAATGCCAATGCATATGAGGAAAGAAAAATGTTAATGTCATGTGACTCCAACTGATTAAATATGCTATTAATTTAAATCTAAAAATAGCTGGTTTTTCAATGTCCAGTTCTTGTTATTTTGTGGCATTGGTTATTAGAGTTTTGTACTGTATAGCAAGCATATGAGAAATATATAATATTTCCTAACAAACCCGCCACACTTGAAATGTCAAAGTCCATGGAAAATATCCTGAAAATACAGCATAAATGGTGCAACAATTGTTGGTACAATATCAATATATGCAGCCTTAATATATGGTTTGATTCCATTTTTTTCTTTTCCTTTTTTTATTTTTATTTTTTTTATTTTCATTTTTTGTTTGTCTCTCTGGAATGCTACAAAGTTACTTGGATTATTACCTAATCAGTTCTAAAAATCTATTTCCCAACATATGGGAAAACTACTCATTCAGTTCACTTGTCTTACAATTCACATGCCTGAAAAGAACTTCTTTTAAATCTCAACCTTCTTTCAAAATGAAAAATCGAACATAAATGCTTCAGCAAGTACACTGACCTTCAAATACTGACAATTAACAAAGAAAAAGAATAAAATAATCAACAATATAAGTCCAGCAACTTAAGAATGTGACTGCTGCAGGACATGCACTGCAAGAGCCCTTTTCCAGAAATAAAGGTGTCTGCTCACGATGAAAACAGGCATAACATATTCAACCTCTTAATGCACTCGCTCAGCAGCCACAGCCGCCACACGGTGGGTGATGTGGAGGGAGCCTCAGGAGACAGCCAAGAACGATCCATGGGCACGAGCAGGGCCATCCCCTACACTCCTCCTTGTGAGAGCTTGTGCGTGTCTTCTTTGGCTTACGACTGTGTCAGATTCTGATAAACTCTCTTGCCCCAAAATTCTTCAAGGTCGAAAGGCTTGAAGTCTGCAAGGCAAATATTTGGAGGTAAATGCTAGACATCTTTGTTGAATATGCTGTGGATCTATTTGTATGAACCAAAAGTTCATGAAATTAGATCCACAGAAAATAAGGAAATAAAAATAGTAGATCCCACATTATTGTCTGCAAGTGTTGTGTCTGGAAAATTCTACATTCACCTTGTGTGTGTGCTTTGTACAAATTTTGCAAAAGTTCTGAAATGACAAACATACATCAAGTATATAGACAGAGACTAATATTGAATATTTGGCTTTACTACTTTTGATATCAACAACAATAACAACAAATGTAACATAATCAGTATCCATTTCTATCATCATCATATTCCTCATTTTTATTATCAAAATTATCATTATCATCAAGAAAATAATCATGACCATAATGGTAATCATTATCATTAACTTCAAATGAAAGTTAAAAACAATCACAGGTTTTTAGCAAAATCTTACCCTGTAATGCTGGATGAACATTTTTTTCTTGATAGTAGGCAATGCCACTTCCTGAAAAAGAAAAGAAACAGAACATGTAAAAATAACATAATCCCTTCATATACTTAATGCACAGTCGGTACTCCAAAGGCTATATTTCTGTATCTGATAAGCATCCGACCTCACAAAGGCATTCACAAAGGCATTTTTCAATATTCTTCGATGTGACCAAAGTACAGCTTTCACACAAACACCAAAATACAAGGCAATAATCTCCTACACAAGGCTTATCCAGCAAAGCCCAATATAAGCCGACAACTTACCTCTTATGTCATGCCCACTTTGCCTGCTCATCTCAAGCTCCTTGTATACTCGGCCCCAAGCTGCAAAAAGATGTGAGCGATGTTAAAAGAGAGAAAGAATACAATAAAACTCTTTGCTACAATGTTACAACAATGCCAGAAACATTATACATGTGTTATATTAAGTTAAGTAGAATACTGATTTTCTTTCTCTTTGATTGACATATCATACATTTAGGGGAAGTATCATTGAATACTTACAAATAACAATTCAGAAATTCTCAAGTAAAGAATACAAAATTAAACATCAAATACTACATTTATTCACTGATCTCTTTTTCTATTACCCTTTCCAATGATGCTATCCATTATAAATCATAACATAAAAAGGGGAAGTATGTTGAAACAGTAAAGTATTAAAATCCAAGACCGGAGTGGCTGACGAGTTGCTATGTGGCGACACCTAATGAGGTAAGTATGTGAGAGGTGTCAAAAGAAGGCCAAAGTGTAAAAAAAGGAGAACTTTCTCATTCACCGGATTCATTTCTTCGAAGATGGCATGGATGTATGCACACATGGTTTAAAAATTGTGAAAATGGTTCCTCTTGGGGAGGCCCCGTACTTTTTTGACCGTGTTCGTACAAACGGGAAAACTAAAATTACACGTCTTTC